GAGAGAGAGAGGGGGGGGGGGAATGGGGGAATGGGGACTCCCACAAAATTCCGGCGACACCACCAGCCACCAGGCAGCTTGCGGAAGACGTATTATTTTAATAAGATTTTATTATTTCTTTCTTTGTCAGTTTTATTTATTTTATTTTTTGGCTGCGCAGTGTGCGATGTCGCTGGGGTACTGTGGAAAGAAGGCGTAGGCAACCGTCAGTGGTATGGTTTGAGACACTATGCCCTTAAAAAAAATACGTTCGTAAAAACGAAACTAGATTGTCGACAAGAATTTTACTCGTATTCTAGAATTTCGATTAATGGTCTCAAACTTGGTGCTTCTTCGCACTCACCCGTGCATTGCTTACTCTGTCTCGTGTGGTAGCGGCGCGGTGAAAGAGACACCCGGTAAACTTAGGCCCGAGCTTAGGCCGGAGATATAGAAAACTTGCATTTCTCTGTCCTTTCCTTCCACAAAGTTCGGACTCCCTTTGGTTATCCCACACGGTGTGCTTCCGTACATCAGCGGTGACGACGAGAGGTGCTTTGCGTTTTCTTGATCGTCTCTGATCTGAACTCCTGTCTTATGGCTGTGCCTCTTACGTCTTGTTCCCTAACAGTTGTTGGTGCTGGTGATACCCCTTCCGTTACTCGCTCGCCCTGGCCTGGGGCTGCGCACTGCCGTGCCTCGGCCCGGACCACCCGCCGCTTTACATCCGCAGAGGCAGAGGAGAGGGTTCGTACGTTTCGTTATGTCATATCAGTCGGTCGCATGCAAATGCCGCTGCCACCGCCACGGCAGAGTCGTAACTCCGATTGGTGTCAAATAAATATCAAACACGGCAAAAGTTATTTCGCGGCCCGCCGCGCCGCCGCCTCCTCTCGCTGTTGTCCCGTACCCTCCCGGCAGCTAAATACAATGTGTGTGTGGTGGTGGGATCGTCCTGACCGGAGCGTTGAACCTCTCGTGTGTTGGGAGGAGGAGGAGGAGGAGGAGGAGGAGGGGGGGGGGGGTCACAACAGACATATCGGTAGGGGCGTCACGTCCGACCAATGTCCAGCCGCGGACTGGCAGAAAGCAGCGCTTCCGTTTAGTATCCCTTGGGCTGCTTCGCTCACCCCGCCCCCGCCCCGCCCCGCGACGCAACGCCACGCACATCCCCACCACCACACCCTGCTACGGTACACCACCAACTCTCTCGCACATCCATCAATGTTCGAAAAAACAAAACAAAACAACAACAAACACACTTATAGTGACACATTTCCCGCGTAATCTTTGCCACGCGCTCTCATGAAGGTCGTGTTGTTGCCCACGGCGACAGCATCAGGTGGTGGACGACAGCGAAGCTACCTACGCCCTTCAGTGGCTGTGAGACCCTCGAGAGCAGCTCGCCTCATCCATCACGTGTGTGTGTGTGTGTGTGTGTGTGTGTGTGTGTGTGAGTGTGTGACTATGAGAGGGAGGAGGGGGTATGTAACCCGGGCCTGGGCCTGTAGAGGGGCGGTGCAGTGCAGCCGCCCGCAGGCCTTGAGGACTTGGCTTGTCAGAGGCAGAATCTGTCACAGTCACGAACAATGCAACGCTGCATCGTGCACTGTAGAAAAGGAACAGAGGTCTTCTTCTTGTTCTGCTTCTACGCACACTTGCCCGGGGGTGGGGGGGGGGGTTGCTCCTGGACCACGACCTCCAAGCCAAGACAGATGGGGTGCAGGGGCTGAAAGAAGAAGAGGATAGAAGATGTTGGAGCAAAAGGGAAGCCCAAGCCCTTAGAGGGGAGGGATGTGGGTATGGGGAAGGGCAGTTCCGGCGGAAAGGCAAAGGCCTGAAGGCTCAGGGCAGAGGGCAGGTTCCGGTGGCTTCAGGCGCTAAGGGTGCTGGTCTGGTGGCCGCCTCCCCGGCGCCCCGCCCAGGCTCTTATCCGAGTGATTGCACCCCCATGGCCATGCGGCCTCTTGCACCTGACTGCGCGTCGCCGCGCAACAGGCGTCGACCTCGCTGTACTGCGTACCGACGTCCCCACAACCCCCCCTTTCCTCTCTCGGAAGCCCTGAAGCAAATCCGTCCATGGGACTTAAGTGTTTTGGGAAATGGTCCGAGCTGATCCTAGGTGCCGCGTCGGGGCGCTTCGGGGCGGACTTGTCGGGACGGGGTGTACTCTGGGGAAAACATCAGAACCCATAGAGCGGCGTGGCGGAGCGGGAGACGGTAGGATCCCCCCCAATAACTACGCGCTCTGACACGTGCCCTGGCTGGCCGACGAGGTTGTTGGGGTGACTCTAAAAGGGTGGCGCGGTATACGTGGGACGCGGCCGGGGTCACCAGTCACCCCCGAACAGCACCTGTCCTCTTTCTTGTTCGCTGCCCGCTTTCCGCCGTCGTCGCCTGGAGCGGGGCGCGACGCCGTATAGCAAACGGCTGGTGGCGTCGAGCAGCGGCCGGGAAGACCCACTAAATCAGCCAAACGGCCGCGGCTTCCCAGTGCTTGGCTGCTTCGGTGCCCATCGCCGCGCCACGCCGCGCCACGCCACGCCGCGCCACTCCACGCCGCGCCACGCCACGCCGCGCCACGCCGCTTCCACATCGCGGCCCGGATGGGCCCGGCCCGTAGCCATAGGCCAGGACGGGCCGCGGCTGTGCAGAGGAGCCGCCGCACAGTGGGCTGGGATGGGCGACGGCTTGCGTAAATGTTATGCAAACTTGTCCCAAACGAGTCTTTATTACGACTGGCTGGGCTCTAACGCTCGCCGGGCGTTTCGCACGATCGACGCGACCGACCGGGCGGCGAGCCTCCTAGTTTATAGTGTACATCGGCCGGCGGGGCGGCGGCGGTGGGGCGGAGAAAGAACAATCGAACAGCAGGCCGTTGCCAACCCAACAGGGCGAGACCGTGTCGCGCGGTCGGACGGCCGATCAGTGCCGATCGGAATTGAGACACAAAATTAGCCGGGATTCGTCAGGCTGCTGTGACCCATGTCGGCCCAGCACGAGGGCGCTAGGCCAGGTCCCGTTGCCCCCCCCCCTCCCCCTCCCCCCTTCCCGCTTATGGCGAGTGGAGCCTGGTGGAGCCACTCGACAATCAAAACTTTTAGCGAAGAGAGGCGTGGGCGTGGGTGGGGCGGGCGGCGGGAGTGGGGTTGAAGCATCAAAGTATGGCCATTACTTCTTTTGTTCTCGACGAGTCAAAAACTTTTTCAGCTTAACAAATTGTACACCGGCTCGATACCGGACCATGAATAGCATATTATTTCGAAAGTTGACGCGCGGGTGCGCACAGGCATCTGAATCTTTGATTGTTATTTTTTGTCAGCCTAGCTCGGCGCGTCCGCCCACCCTCCGGGATTCCATTGAAGGATTCCATTTCATGTATTGCGCGGCGTGCGACTGTTTTCTCCCTGCTTTTTCGTTCCGTTTTCCATCGGCACGCGTTTACACTGCGACAGCCGGCCACTGAGCCACGGGCGTGCTAGGGGAGTTGGAGCGAGCTGGAGAGGAGAAGAGGGGAGGGCAGGGGGGTGAGAGAGAGGGGGGGGGGGGGTAAGAGGATCCCCCTCCTGCGGTAGTGGCGCAGTGACCACGTGACCACTAGGGCAGAGCTGCTGGGAGACGCACATGCACACACACACACACACACACACACACATGTGCGGTGCGCATTGCGGCCGCAATCACCAGCCCTTTGCCCTTGGTCCAAATTCATAATATCAAACTTTTCTCTGACATTTTCTTCTTTAACTTTCAGGACCGCTCTTCTGATTTGGAAAGGCGATATCAGCGGACTTATGACTTATGTTTGAGCCCGGGTGTCCGTGTCCGTCGGTCCCCACGACGGTCACCCCTCCCCTGGACAACGAAACAGTTAAGTGGCTTACAGGTCTAACCTAAAGCAAACGCCGCCCGCGCGCCAAAGCTAAGCCAAGCCCGCTTTGCAGGTGGCCAGTTTGCCAGTGGGGCAAAGTAAAAGCGGAGCTGGCAACGAGTTTTGGCGGAAGAGGGGGCCTAGTTTGCTGATGACAGTAAACGTTGACATTGGCGTGGGCTGGTGCCGTCCTCACCTCAGCAGGTGGTGACGCCCGCGGCCTGCCCGCCCCACGGCCCTCGGGTCCGAGGTGCTCGGGTCCTGCCCGGTCGGCCGGCATGTCCACCGCTGTCCCCTCCAGAGGGCCCCTCCCACTACGCCCCGTCCCGCCACGGTGTGACCGATTGCCTTTTACACGCGCCATTTGCCGGACGCAAGAAGAAAGACCCTTCCTGATCGGGCTGGTCGGGGGGTGACGCAGTCAGCTGGAATAATTATACAATATTGCTGCAAAACCCCATCGCCGCAAGTACAACATTCGACGGCTTGTTTAATCCATGTTATTGGCCGACGAAAATTGCTCCAAGCGGCCCGACCCCGGCAATGATAATTACTCTGCAAATGTACTCACCACCCAAAACACTGACATTTTTTCATGCAAATGACTGGCTATATGGCCCGTGTGCCTCGATTTCTTTTGAGGAGGCTGGTGATGACGATAGGGTCAAGCGAGTTCGCAAAAAAAACAAAGTTGCTTTCGGGCACGCTGGGCCGTCGAAAATTTATAGTGATTGCGGGTCACTTTGCTCTCCGAGCTGGACGCCTCGGCGGGCGGCTGGGCGGCCGACCCGCCGCGCTCGCTGGTGCGGCGAGTGGCCTACCTCCGGGCTGAGGCGGCGAGGCGGCGCGCGCTGGGCTGCTGCTGTGCTGCTGCTGCTGCGCTACGCCGCTCATCCCGCCCCCAGCGCGGCTCATGGCTTTGGGGGCTCCGTAAGCACCTCTGCGCCGCCCTGCGCCGCGGCTGCCGCGAGAACATTACAAGGGAAACTAATGTCCGGCGGGCCGCCTGGGCCTCGGCCTGGCCCGCCCCGGAATTGCATGACCGGCCCGACCCGGCCGGCGCGGCGCGGGGGCAACGGATCGTTTGCGGGGAGGGCCGGGGCTACAGCCTGGGCCCGCCGTGTACGGGCTGGGCTGGGCTCTCTCTCACCTTGTAGCGCATGCTGTTGATGGGCATGATGGTGTGGTGGAGGCTGCTGCTGCTGTTGCTGCTGCTGCTGCTACAGCCGGCGCGGCGACTACTGCAGCATCACGGCCCTGCTGGACCAGGGCGCGGCGGCACGCGATGCAGAGGGGCTGCAGCGCCTCGTCTGCGACAATAGAAGATAATAAA